CGTTGGAATTTATTAGGCGTAATCAGTTCGCGCTCAGGCTGGCGGCACGCTCCTGCCAGTGTCGGAGCCCAAAATCGTGGGTGTGAATTGAGTCGGAGAGTACTTTCGGACTCGCGAGAATGGATACTCGACAGCGGATGCAAAGTACTACAGTGCCCTTGTTGGTGCCTTGCATAAGAAACTGAACATCGCATTTCAGCGCGCGTTGTTTGTCCGCGCCAAATATACCCTTTTCGGATATCGGCAAATGTGCGGCAAAGACCCATCGAGAGGGAGAGTAGCTGGGCATGCCGCTGGGGGCAGAGTCTAATGATTTACAGCCCTTAGTGTAGTTGTAGAATATACATTTCATGTATTCTATGAAGCCTTTCGAGCCCTCTCGGGGCGTCTGCGAGTCCCTGCCCAGCAAATGGCCCCGCGAGAGGCCTTCCCCGAAAAGGGCATATTTGGCGCGAACAAACAACGCGCGGGGAAATGCGATGTTATGCAAGGCACTGTAGTAGTAGTACTCCGGATTAACAGTCGATCAGGTCCTGACATCCCTTGGTCTTCAGCTCTTCAGCTTGGATCCTGAAGGGCGCACTATCCCTCTAGTGCAAAACGTTCAGCTTCCTGTCCCTGTGGTTGCGACAACCGGCGACGGTGAGCTCCAACGTCAGAATATGGGCTTTGCTGTCCACTCCATCGGTCAGTCTCCATTCCTGAGGACTACATAATACATACTCGCCTGCAAACCCGGACATGCCTCTCACATTATCTGCTGTAACCTCGGTCTCGATATCAGTTACTACTACTTTCTGACAACACGCAGCCCGCCTGCGGCCCTCTTCGGAGGCATGACTACAGCTAAAGATGTGATGACACTTGCTTAAACATTCCCTCGGAAATTGGCTGTTTCTCGCCGAAGGACATCATGCTGTAGCTGCCTTTCTCTTGCGATCTGAACATGTACGTCATATCATGCCTAATCAGCAATATCTCACCTGATCTTCGCGCACGGGGGAGACAGTGTTCCAGTACAGACCGTCTCAGCTCGCCTGTGCCCGACTCTGAGGCTGGTTTAAGCTAATGAGGCGATCTGACCCCCGCACTCACGCACGTCAAAGATCACGGCGCGTATCACGACCATCAGCCATCAAGCCGTAAGGCCCGATCTACCCATGTTCCATGTCGATCAACATATATAACGCCTCAGCCTCCATGCATCCCTTGGGCTGGCCCCTTCGAGGAATTGACGTGTGCCCTCACTGTCCTGCCTTGCGTCTGCAATGTCCGCACTTTTCTTCCCGAATTCTAATGGTCACCTCACCTACTCCATATCTGCCAATGCCACGCGCTACCTCACAGTCATCGGCTTGGCTATCCTCATTTACGACCATATCCTCACGTTGCATTCCGAGTGGTCCCTCATATGGCGCGCTCCGCCGTCCTTTGCCAAGTACGCCTTTCTCTTGAACAGATACTTAGTACCGGGATGCATGACCGCTGCAATATACCGTGAGTGATGCCAAGTAGCTCGTATGCCAATGGGCAGGCCTCTGCTGACTTCTCGAAGAAATGTCCCTTTTCACATACGCGGACCTGACAACCTCTGGCTGTCAAGTTCTTCTTCTCACCCTGTCGCTCCTCTCAATATGTTCCATTGCGATGGCTAATGGACTAGTTTTGATGCGCGTAATGCTCCTGTGGGGGGAGAACAGGGTAGGTTGTATTTCGTTTTAGATGTTCATTACGGCATAATCATTCATGCGTGTAGACTGCGAAACGGCTCTTAGGGGCGAGTTTTATGTTGTCCACCCTCTGCACCTTTACCGCGTTCATCCTGGCGATGTGGAGGATGCTTTGTAAGTAGCATTGTATCTCTCTTAGCTCTCTCCTCTCAACGTACGCGTTCAGTGGACATACAGTTTTTCCCTTACGTGCAGATGTGTGTGCCGACTAGAACGTCCCGTTGGCTCATTGCAACATGGGCTAGTCCCGTTCGTCTCTTCTAAATTGAATAGCTCCGATGTTCTGTACTGAATTGTTTCCCGTGACAGTTACTTTTCGATTTGTTCACTCTCCTTACCACTGTGTACAATACCCTTTCTCGACCGCGAGATGCCCACGTACCGTTGAGAAAGGCACTGGCGAGAGACGGAATCAGTTTCTTTCTCGTATGTTTATGGTGGTAACCCCTGCCACATTCGCACTCAAATACTTGTACCTAGGGGCTGGTTGCTTTGCGTATCCTCAACCTCTCATTGGCAGCCACACTGGACCCGTCCCTAACGATGCTGGCGGTCTTGTGAGTTGGCCTCTTCGCATCGGATTCGAGATGCTGAAGGTTCTCTACAGCTTCGTCTGGTCATGCATAACAACTCTCCTAAACCGTTCGCTTCTCCGTTTACGCAAGGCCGAACTTGATTCGGATGCAGCTGATGCCCCCGGTCTTACGACTGGAAGGTCGTCGCCGTTCGGCGTCCCGTTCAAGGAGTAGAAGCAGTGCGTGCGTTGAACCTATTCAACAAGGTCGTGAACAAGCAGCTGGGACAACATGGCGCCAGGTGGGAAAACTTGCACGTTTAAGCTGTAGTAGGGATGATATTAGAGTACATGATCAATAGCACTATTATAATATAGATCTCCATTGTATTGCGACGTTGGAAATGGAAAAGGGCAACGCGACACTACTCCGTACTAGTATCCTCTCGTTGATTCAGAAGAGACATCTGGCTCTTAAGATAATAATTTATGTGAGGTTAATTCTGGAGAAGCAGATGCAACGTACAATGGCCGTTTGTACCGTAGAGGACTTTATGCGCGTATCAGAATGCGGAAGGGCGCAGCCCCCAGCACCAGTCGCACCCCTTCCGTTCACGGCACTCATGCAGCCTACCAAGCAAATCCTTGTCGAACCGCGTCCCGCGCGTGCACGAGATTGCGGACAGAGGTCGATGATGTGCACTAAAGCAGACGATGCTACCCACTGGACTTCCAGGGAAGGTGGAAGCACCGACTTGTATAGCTATGGCTTCACATACTCGCCGAGGTCAAGCTGTTCGAGCTGCCCTGGAGAGGTTTGGGAGGTGATTCGCCACAACATTCCACTCCTACTCATAAGGGATATATGTGCGACAACGTAGGTCAAGCTCCGTTAAAGTAACTTCCCAGCACTGGAGAGCCTGTACTAGTGTCTGCCCATCATGGAAAACCCCGCGGCCAAACGAAAACGGAATAAGCTTGGGCGCCATGCGGCCGATGGCCAGGAGCTGTTCGTTATTGAGTGTGCACCCCATAGAGATGATGCGAATCGTGGGAATAGGATTGACCGCAACCGGAAGGGGGAGGCTGAGTATGGTTCCTAGTGTTGCTCGTTAAGTGAAGCCAAGCTGAAGGGACACGTCACTTCACTTCAAGAAGCACCCACTTCAGTGGCTTCAGCGTGGCATGAAGTCACACTGAAGGCTTCAAGATGACTTCAGTCCCACCACTCCACTGACGAAAGGAGTAAACCTACACGAAGTGGGTAAGCCCGCTCGCGTGGTTGACTTCGTGCCCGTGTCGGCCTTGAGACCGGCAGTTGCCGGACTGGAGAGGACGGCCGTCGTCGACGCGGTTTACCACCCTACTGCAGCCAAAATGTGCATCTTTGGTGTCAGACAGAGTCTGTAAGGTTTGTAATTTGTGATAGAAAAGAAACGAGAGACAAAAGCTCAACGTCTGCTGAGTGATTCACCCATTATCTCTCTCAGTTGGCCAAATGAGGGCTGCTGTCTCACACTTCATTGAAGTCTTCAGCGTGACTTCAGCTTCACTTCAGACGGACTGAAGTTTGACAGGCCCCACTTCAC